ACAGCCCAGGATGCACTGGATCACGCATGGCGGGCGCTCGCTGCGCTGCAGCTGACCTGCCCCGCCCCCTGGCCGGGCGGATCGGCGGGCCTACGCGACCAGCGAACGCGCGGCAAGCCCAGGCCACCCCGTAGGGCCTGCGACGTGAAGGCCTCGTGCAGTTCTTCGATGTCAGCCAGGTGCCTGGGCCCCCCGACGAGTGCCGCGACGACGACCCGATGCGGGGCCCCAGCCAGGCCAATCTGCTGGAGCCGTCCAAGCACTTGCGCTAGAGCAGGCCAAGGCAGGACAGCTCAGGCAGGCGTCTGCCCGAAGCTCGAAGCCCCAGGCAGACTCGAGACCCGCTGGCCGCGAGCCGGCAGCCGCGCGCAGCGGAGGACCAAGCGATCCCAGACAACGACGACCCCGACCTGCAGCAGCATCCAGCTGCGACGGAGCCCCCAGCAGAGCCCGCAGCCCCAGCTCGACCCGCGGTCGATTGGGCAGCGAGAGTTAAAGAAATGAGGAGGAGATTGGACGCCGCAGACATGACACCGCCACGCACGTTCACAGCATTTCGAGATCGAGAAGGCAACCGATCAGGACCATAAGGTCGATGTCATGGTCTTACACGCGAGCGTGGAGGCCTACGAGTTGCGTTATGCAGCAGGCGAGCTTTGCGATGATCACGGAGGCGAAGCGCGTGGAGCAACAGAGTTTCTTCGGCAATCATGTCAGGGAGCCGGGCGCGAACGAGGGGGCGGATCTCAAGCAGGTACTTCTGGCGCGCTTCCTGCTGAAGCGGATTCGGAGCGCAGGCGGCAGTGACAAGGCCCAGGGGTGTGTGGTTAATCAAGGCTCTCGAGACCCATATGCACTTGCAGGGAAGTTGGCCAAATCTTTCCCGACAGTGACCACATTTAACAGGATGTTCACTGCACTGTTCGCTCGCATGCATGGTTGGGCCCTGTTTGCCGCCGCCGTCAGTGCCGCGTTTCTCCAGGGCGAGCGCTCAGGCCGCGGTCTCGGCACTACTGCCAGCGGAGGCGCGCAATAAGCTCGGCTACCAGCCGGGTGCCGGGGTGAAGCTGCTCAAGAGCATGCGCGGCCTGAGCGACGCTCCGAGGATCTGGTCGGAGGAGGCTACCGACCTCATGATCGGACGTGCCTTCGTGGTTCAGCCGCTGGGCCCTCGCTTCTTCCTGGACTACCGCGTGAGTAAGGGCAAGGACCTCGCGGTGCTTGGCGGGGCCGTCGCGCTGCTCCTGGGCGACGTGCTAGGGGGCGGCAGCGACGACATTGGCGAGGCCTGCTTCGCCTCGGGGGTCGAGGGGCGCACGGAGGCTGGGCGAGGCCTGTTTCGCTTCGGGGGTCGAGAAGCTCAAGGAGGCTTTCACCTTCAGGGCGTGGGGGGGCACGACCGCGGGCACGCTCGACGTGGCAGGCGACGCTTCTATGGTTTTCAGTGGCAACCAGCTCAGGAAGACAGCCAGCAGCGACGGCCAGATGAGCTGCGGATCCTGCACCAAGTCGCTCAAGCCGATCACCGCGCTCGCCAGCAGTTGGCCGCCGTCGAGGGCGAGCGACGACAGCCGCGAGGTTGAATGGGGAGCTCGGCGTGGCCCAGCAACCAGGCGGCGCCCCACTTGCAGTGCAGCGTCAGCCTGGGACGCGGCCTCGTCAGCGAGGGCACCGCTGCGCAGGACCTGGCGGAGGCTAACAAGACGCTCCGGTTCGCCGAGGCCGGTTGCCCCCAAGATATGCGATGGCCCCGGCGAGGTGGAGCTCATTTGCGCGACGGACGCGGCGCGGGCAGCGTTGCGACGGCGGCGAACAAGGGCGTGCTGAGCGGCAGGACCGTCAGTCCGTGGTGATTGAGCGGCGCTACTTGAGGGGGGCAGTTCGCCCCGGTCTAGCGAGGCTCAGGCCGCAGCTGGTGGAGCAGACGTGCTCTTGCATCTGAAGGCGCATTCCAGCCCCTCGCTCGACCCGACGAGGGGCCCGAGGCTGATCGGCACAATGCCAGTTCTGGGCAGGAGCGTTCTCGCGTTGGACACTGAGGCGCTGTGCGACGCGGCCTGGAGGCCCCGCGCGCGCAACTTCGATGGCGATCGGACCGACATCAAGGTGCAGAAGGAGCGCGCGACGGCCAGCGCAACAGGCGATGTGGGTCAGCTCGGTTTGCTGACGGTTTTACTTAGCTGGCAGTCCAGTAATAGCGAGCCGATTGCTTGAGGGCCCGAACGATCGGCCTAACATCCGACGAGAAGTTCCAGGCCGCAGAGAAGAAGACGGCCAAGGACCGACAGACGGAAGCCAAGTGAGTCGCGACATGGAGACCGCAGGCGACTACGGCGACAGTGGCGGCCATGGCAGTTCTTAGAAGATCAGAAGCCAGCAAGGCGAAGATCTACAATGACAAATACCGATGTTCTGGTGGAGTTTGCTCGGGGCAACCGTCCGAAGGTCGTGATCGCGATTGCGTCCGGCGTCTTTCGAAGGCGCTGTTCATCATAATGGGGGTTGTCGCATGACTTATGTTCGTGTGCTGCGTGGTCTACGTGGGCGCGACGAGGAAGACGACTTCCGAGACGAATTCCGAGGGCGCGAAAAGAAATGCGACTCCCGAGATTCCCCCAGCACCAAAACCAAATAAGGAGACAGCACAGCAGAACAAGCATAAGGAGACGCCAGCCAGGCTGAGTACCGTCAAGTAGGATGCATGCGCGCAGGGACCAGCATAGTCCAATGCAGTTGACAAGCCGGACGGATTGCAAGGAAGGTGCCAGCATGTGGTACAGGGTGTCTATAGAGGTTTGGTGGTGTCACGTGAGCTAATCAGTGCACCAGAGGCCGCGCGATAGTTGAAGGCTCCCCGACATATCCAGATTTGCATCCTGTTCCAGTCCCCTGTCTTCCACGTGTCATGCTTCTGTCATCGAAGCTATTTCTCCAGGCGAAGGTCTAGCTCGCGCCACTTGTGTTGCGCAGCTTCTCTCGAGCAAGGGCAAGGCACAATCAGTGCTGCAGCGCTTCTGTTTTGTAACGAAGGTGAGAGTTGAACAGGTGCTGTCATTCTTTCCCCTCACCAGTGCGACTTGCATTCCACACAATGCGTGTTCGGAGGTGTTTGAGCGGCGTTTATGACTAACGCTGTAGGTTTTGCCCGCCCCCACTGTAGCAGTCAACAGTAGCATGATGCACGCAGGCAGCCATGAAACAGTCGCCGTTGCCATTTGTGTTCAAGAGGCCTCTCGACTGACCGCAAAGCGACTCCCAGGGAAAATGTCGCTAGAAAAGCCAGCCAGGCTTAAGAGTTCGAACCGAGTACGGTCGAGGATGTGAAGAGCTTCGACTGATTGACAGGGGCGGGTGTTCTGCGGTCTGCTGCTCGTCGGTCAACCACATGACAACCACGGGGCGACCGCCCAGGACAGCCGCCACGGCCAGGGAACATATTGACACATTGGCATACTGACAGGAATTGTGTCGCAAACTTGCGACGCGCTCCTGATCCCAAATCGATCTCGGGGTGTGGGGTTACCCGGTTCATTGCGATCCGCACATATCATCCGATAAATTTGATCGGCGGAGGATGGTGAGGGGAACCAGAAAACACGGCCCCAAAATCTTTATATGTCGGGGAGGTCCAGGCGGTACGTGAGAGCCTCCCATGGAGCCCTAAGGAGGCAAAAGGGGCTTCAAAAGGACGAGGAGCAGTTGCATCGGTGGAAAGGTAGCTTGGAGGTGGCCGGGATGACAGGTGATGGTGGAGGGACAGGATTATGAGCAATGCAAGCGGTATACGATGATAGGGTGAGGGATGCCAAGGTTAAGAAGGGTCAGCAGAGGAAGAAAGAACCGGTGGAGGGATAGTGGTCGGAGGAATACTGGATGATCAGAATGACATGAGGGGGATTTCGTGCCCAGGGGGGGAGAGGGAGCATGCAGGCAGCACGAGGTATTTGCTGAGGATGATCAGCGAGGAGAGGATCACCATGACGGTTATGACTTTGACGGGCAGGACGTGGGAGAGCGGGAGGATATGGGGATGATGATGGAGATGTGGGGGGCCAGGATGATGTAAAGGAGAGTCAGAAACAGTGGCAGAACAGAGAATGGGAGAGGGACCGCCACGGTAGTGAATGTGATTGAGAGGAGGAGGAAGCGGAGGAGGAGGAAGAGGCGGACGAAGGGGAGTTGGAAGGTGGATGAAGGGGACGAAGAAAATGAAGAGGAAAACGGGTAAGACGACGAGAGAGAGATTGCAACGGAAGCGGAAGAGCTGGACAAATAAGAGGAGCAGTTTGGCAACCGATTGGGGGAGCGGGGAGCAAGAGGATATACACGTCGGGAAGACATGAGCGGAAAAGGGCATGGAGTGTGAGCAAGAAGATATCGAGGGGCACGATCGTGGAGGATGAGGCGAATTCGGAATTGGAACAGTGTAGCGTCGTGCTATGCTAGCGCCGTGTCACTCCATTGCGCGGGGATCTACCGTCACACACTGTCCCTTTGTAGCGCGATTCGCATCGCGGATGTCCGTGCAATGTACGAGCCATATCGCAACGCTTTACAAAGTGTGGCACCCTCGCTTACAACATGGTGGGCTTGCGAGGGGCTAGAGCTTAAGCGCGCGCGCATCGCCCGCGAGGTAGTTGTACATATCGAGGTGAATTGAAGCACTGGCGGTCCACTTCGACTTAGGGGACAAACATTGACATCTCTTCCTTGGCGGCAGGCCAGGTGAAGGGTGGCGGGAAAAGAGCAAGGGCCCTTCCGCTAGAAGACGCCGGCGGAATTCCGGGCGGAAGGCGGCGGAAGTAGCATTCGTCCAGCAGAGAGGTGGACTTTTCTCTGCGTGTTGAGAGGTCTTGGCAGGAGCCACGTGCGTTCATCACTCGCTCTCCCTGCTCTCGCCACTCCTGCTATCGTCCCCATGCCCTCCTCCTCCTCCTCCTCCTCCTCCTCCTCCTCCTCCTCCTCCTCCTCCTCCTCCTCCTCCTCCTCTTGGTTCGCAGGCCAAGGCGGGTGCCCGAAGGTCGAGCACGATCCTCGTGAGCAGCACGACATCTGGCTACGTGTTCGCCATCGACGTCGACACCGGGGACGAGGCAGGCCAGCCACAACTGGGGGAGCTGTGGTCCTTACCCCCCTGGGGGACCCATCGAATTCGACGCCCCTCTCGAGAGGTCGTCGACGCGATGGGTTCCCCCAGGGGGGAAAGGACCACAGCTCCCCCAGTTATGGCTGGTCGGCGAGGTGTGGGCAGTTCAGGCGTCTGATCAGATCGCTGGCGTGAAGGGGGTAGTCTCTGGTTATGCTGGCACAGTGCTAGTGGCAACGAACCGTTGCACTGACAGGTACTGTTACCGCTACCGCAGCACGTCGAACCCTCTGACTCCAGGCAACACCTGGGTCCGAGCCCTGAGTGCGGTGGATGGCTCTCTCATCTGGTCGTTCAAGCCCCACTCGCCAGTCTGGAATTTTGTTCCGCAGTACGGCAAGAACGGCGACGCAGTGATGTTCAATGACTTTGAAGGTGCCGTATACTCAATGGACCTTCAGACAGGCACTCTTAACTGGAAGGCCGACGGCGCCATGGGGACGCATACCCAGGCGAGTTGTGCGTACAGCTCCGAACTCGACCAGGTGTTCGAAGGATGACAATTGCACACAAGCATACACAAGCATGCACACACACGCACAACACACAAACAAACACACGCACACACACAAGCAAGCACACACAAAAACACAACTATAGACACAACCGAAACACGCAACCCAACACGCACACACACAGCCACACCACACAAACCAACACCGAGACACACACACACAAACAGATGCCAATGATGCACGAGTACACACAAGCACACACACACACATACACACTTCAGTCATACTGGCGGCTCCGTATCCCGTTTACCCCAGATGTGTTATGCGCACGGCTGTGTGCGAGCAAGTTCAGATGTGCATCAGACCTTGGCGAGCCCATCCTGGGCGCATAGTCGCTGTTGCCTTCTGCCAGCCCCAGCCAACTTCAGGGCGGCCCAGCCGTCAACTATGGAGCGAGGGAGGGAGGAGAAGGAGGAGCTGCCGCTCGAGACCGTGGCCTGGAGGCGTTTCCGGGAGGTGGGGTCCCAGAGCGGGGCCCGCCCGGGACTGGAGCCCGCGCGCAGCTGCACACCTGACTTCAGGGGAGGGCAAGGTACCCATACTGCTACCCCTCCCTCGTTCTCGTCAGTTTGGACCTCCTGGGAGGCCCTCGTCGCCACCGCTGGATTCGCCTCGCCATTCTGGTCAGAACGCACCCTCGTGGAGGTCCGGGGAGCAGCGATATCGGTACCGTGTTGGTTTCCCCATGACTGGGCCTCACAGGTTTTCTCGTTGGGCCTGCACACGTACGATGGGGAGGGGTGCAATCCGTACGTGCCCAAGGGCATTCAGCCAGACTGCGGCGAGCACACTGGCTCGCCAGGCTGGGTGAGGGGCATCAACGCCAGCTCCGGGAGAATGCAGTGGGAGACCGATTTGCCTCAGCCCCCCGCCAGCGTGGCCGTCGGCTTCTTGAACACTCCGAAGTACTCTGATCTGCGTAGGTCCTGACGCCTCTCTTGTGGCCGTCCGATCGCGTAGCAGAAAGTGCTGATCCAATGCCTGTCGGGATCGGGGCGGTCTTACTTCGACTTTCGATTCTCAAAGTGCGCGATGGGGTGCCCAGCCGAGGTACCACATGCGGTTGGTCGTGTCCATGGGCTACAACTGCCACTACGGAGCCACGTCTGCGCTGTGGACCATGAGCCCCGAGAGCGGCCACCCCCGCGTCAAGATGGACGGCCCAACGTTGTGGTTGTCCGGGGGCAGTCAACATCAATTTTCTCGGGGCCTAAGAGACGGGGGTCAGTGCAAACGGGGGTCAGTCAGGGCGCTGGATCCTGCAGGATCCTGCGAAAACCCCCTCTGGCTGACCCGGGTTAGCGAGCCGCTCGTGGTCGCGAGGCGGCCGCGCCTATTGGCTGACCCTGATTTGCGAAGACCTGCGATGCAGTTTTTTGTTCTTGCATTGCAGTTTTTGGTTTCCTGCTGACCTGGGTCTGGATTGACCCGGGTCAGAAGATCCCCGATTTTCGCTAGCTGGCGCATCAAGTAGGACTTCGATTGCCTCCATCCATGGCCGCCGCCCTGAGATTAACATACGTGCCACGCGTGCGGTGCAGCAGTTCCAGACAGCTTGCATCTGGGGCCCGCTTGGGATCTGCAGACCCCGTGCGTCTGTGGGCTCCAGTTATGGTTCTCGAAGCGCTCATACCTTGGATCCTTCCAGGTTTCTCAGCTTGCTGGACTTATCTTCAGGGCCAATAGGGCCCAAGCGGGCCCAGAATCAGAAATTACTTACCGACGCACGAGCGCGAGAAGGCGTATGTATGCGCATGCCGCTATATGTTCTGTTCTCGAGCCGTAGACAACAATAATATAATCCTGAGTCACACGTGCGTTGGCACCCCATGGACTTGAGGCATCCCGAAATGGCCGTGTTGCTGTTCCTTTGGGGTGCAGGGCTACACAGCTCATAGCATACAGTCGGAGCAAAGTGTTGGATGTTTTGTTCGTTGCCGTGTGGGGCTCCTCCCTGAAGTGTAAGATTGCCCTCTTCCTTGTCAGCGCGCGTCGCTTCAAACCGTATACCTATGCCGCTTGTCCATGCTTCCTTGCCTGCCCCATCCTTCTTGCGCTTATCATCATCCTCGGGGCGGGGATGTATTGATAACCACCGCCTGAAACATCGATCAGGGACATCGGTAGACGGTGGAGACGGATAGATTGGACCCCACTGGTTCCGAAATGTTCATATTCACCGCCCGCTGGGGTACCAGGACGTCGTTTCCTCAGGCGTGAATACGGACACATTCCCGCCTCGCATCGTCCCTAGACATTCGGTGTCTTGTTTTCTTCACATTGCGAGGAGCCCCAGAGCTCCTGGCTCGAACGTTCGCATGCACTGCGCGCGACGGGGGGACCCCCTGGGGCTCCGAGATGGGCCCCTCGAGGCCCGAGCCGCGAGGAGCTTGGCCCCTGGCCGCCCGGGTCTTTTTTTCAGGGCGCTGGAGGGCTGGGATCCCACTCGTCCCCAGGCGGAGGCAGACGGCAGAGGGGTGGATGCCCCAGGGGAGTTCTAGGCCTCCGGGATGGCGTCCGAGCAGACGGGGTCCGAGGTTCGCACCGCATCGCCGACGCATCGGCGATGCGGCTCGATGCGGAGCCCGATTTTCTCCATGCCGACGTCGCCGATGCATCGCCGACGTCGCCGAGGTAGTGCATAACCCAGGGGCTTCAGCGCTGGGGGCGATTCCCCCCTGTTTTCCACTCTTCGCTTTCGATTCAACCACAAGGTTCTGAGAAGGCCACCCTGGAATGTGGACGTCAGGCAGGCGGCATTGTGATACCCAGAATATTGGAAACATAAAGAACACAGACAGGGGGGCCACTGGCCGATCCCGGACATGAAAACGCAACAACACTTGCGCCCAGCACGGAGCGAACGCGTCGATCTCGGAAACGATCAACAATCGATTGTCATGCCCATGGGGCAGGGCACCGCGCTGTCCCACCAATCTCGAGAGGGGGGCGGCGCGTGGCTTCAGGTTAGCGGTGGGGGATGCAGAGGGGATGCGCGAGGCCGCCGTCGGGGCTCGCTCGGGCGATGGAGGGGGGTTCGGGAGAAAGAGGAGGAGGGAGGAGGAGGAGGAGGAGGAGGAGGAGGAGGAGGAGGAGGAGGAGGAGGGGGAGGAGGAGGATGAGGAGGAGGAGGAGGAAGAGGAGAGAGAAGAAGGAGGTTAGGAGGAGGAGGGAGGAGTGGGGAGGAGTGGGGAGGAGGAGGAGAAGGTGGAGGAGGAGAGGGAGCGAGGATGGAGGAGGAGGGGGAGGAGGAGGAGGGCGAGGAGGAGGAGGAGGAGGAGGAGGAGGAGGAGGGGCTGGGGAGGAGGGGGAGGAGGAGGAGGGCGAGGAGGAGGAGGAGGAGGAGGAGGAGGAGGAAAAGGAGGCAGGGAGGAGGAGGAGGGAGGAGAGGAGGAGGAGGAAGAGGAGGGGAGAGGAGGAGGGGGAGGATGAGGAGGAGGAGGAGGAGGAGGAAGAGGAAGTATAGGCGGAGGAGGAGGCGGAGGTAGGAGGAGGAGGAGGAGGAGGAGGAGGAGGAGGAGGAGGAGGAGCGAGGTGGGAGGAGGAGAGGGGAGGAGGCAGAGGAGGAGGAGGAGGAGGGCGAGGAGGAGAAGGATGAGGAGGAGGGGGAGGAGGGGGATGAGGAGGAGGAGGAGGTGGAGGAGGAGGTGGAGGAGGAGGAGGAGGAGGAGGAGGAGGAGGAGGAGTGGGGGGAAGAGGAGGGGGGGGAGGACAAGCTAGGTGCGCTCGCGTCATATCTGACATCCTACCCCTCCCTCCCATCCTTTACCATAGTGTAGATCCCCTCTCTACTCGCAGAGTCTGATGTCGAGCAGGGCAATGATCCCGAAAGGGTACGCGATGCATTGTAGAGCACGGCATGGCATTGCGTAGAAGAACACCGCAAAGCGTAGCATCAACCTAGCATTGCATTGCATGCCGTGGCATGGCACGGGAAATGACGCCAGCGCTGCCGCGGGAGCACGAGTCGAAATGAGCGGAAGCGCGGAAATGAGGCCAGCGCTGCAACGGGAGCACGATTCGGAACGAGCGGAAGCACGGACATGAGGCCAACGCTGCAGCGGGAGCACGATTCGGAACGAGCGGGGCCCGAAAATGAGGCCGGCGCCTCAGCGAGAGCAGCATTTCGAAAAAACATGCAGGCGAAAACCCAACTCCGGGGAAACCTGTGTGTAAAAAACAGTACGCGGGGGGGGTCGAGCACTTTCAAACCGTCATCAGGGGAAGAGGGAGAGTAGTATTCATATTGAGTAATTGTAGAGGAGGAGGAGGAGAAGGAGGAGGAGGAGGAGGAGTTGAAGGAGGAGGAGGAGGACGAGGAGGAGGAGCAGGAGGAGGAGGGGGGAGAAGGAAGAGGACTCGTGCCGACTAGCGTCGACTAGGGCCGACTACGCGTCAAGCAGCGTCGATTCGCAAGAGCCGACAATATTGTGTGGGAGGCTTCCATGAGTTGCCACCGAAGAAGGGCGGGCGCTCCTCGAGCCCGCCATGGCTCGAGTCGCCATTCGTTTTTGCGGGGCAGTGCCAGCCGTCAAAGGAGAAATCGGAGTCAGAGCGCAGGGCCAGGTGGTCCTCGAGCCCAGCCCTACTCGTGGGAGGGAGCGCAAGAGGAGCCCCGTGGCAAAGAAAGGACAACGACGACGAAAAAACGACCCCTACACGGGGCAGGGCAAAACAAAAGCAAGCACGGGTGAAGGCAACACACGCAGTGGAAAGAGACGAGAACGACGACGGGGGGAGGGCATGACGCGCACTCGCCCTGGAGTCTTGCGAACGCAGGGGCGATCGGAGCCTCTGGGTATGAGTGGTGCTTCCCGGCCTGGGCTATCCACGCCCTGCTGTGGCCAGCGGCCCCTCTCCTTCTCCTCCTGCTGCTCCTCCTCCTCCTCCTCCGCCGCCTCCTCCTCAGGAGTCGACCCCTCCTCCTCCTCCTCCTGCTCCTCCTCCTCCTGCTCCTCCGCCTCCTCCTCCTCAGGAGTCGACCCCCAGAGCTCTCACGGGTCGCCTGGCCAGAGTCCCGGGGCGGCCCCAGACGTGGCTGGAACAGATTGCGAAACACGTCAAGATATTGCGAAACACGTTAACATATCTCCGCCTCCACCTCCGCCTTGTCCTCCTTCTCCTCGTCCTCTTCCTCATCATCAGCAGCAACATCTGCATCATCATCACCACCATATATTCCTTTTCCTCTGAGTTAACTCCTTCCTGTCGCACCCCCAGGCTGGTCGAAAGGGTGGGCCAGAGCTTTCGCTTGAGACTTCCTCAGAAATGATGAACTTGGTGTTTAAACGCTGACAACAGCTTCACAGATAGAGGGCTGGTGGTTTTGAACATGTGGCTTTCGCCTTAACACCGCGCACATATTTTTTTACAGCTTGCATGTGCTTCGCGGATTGAGTGCGGGTCGTTTTCAAAATGTGGGTCTCGCCTGAGCGCCGCGCATTTTCGTTCTCAATAGTTTGAAAAAAAGTGTTTCACTGAATGACGGCGGCTCCTTTTCAAAATGTGGTTCTCGCGTTAGCGCCGCGCGCATTCATATTAAACATTCGCAAAGCCTTCATTGGTTCTCATCGTTGACGTACCAGACACGGCGTTTTGGAACGATTCAGGAGCGTCTGGGCGCAACAGTTGCGTTGATTCGCGGTGTTACAATCCCGGGATTGGCGTTCTGGCACGGTTCACGATCGCCAAGACGAGAACTTGTGACGATGAAGACCTGAGAACGGTGTTTGGCACGCTTCGAGATGTTCACACGACTGTCCCCCAACGGGCCAATTCTTACAGTGGAAATGACCCCTTGCAGGAGCCTGCGAAGAGGGATCTTGGAGGGAGGGTGTATTTCAACTTCGTTGATGAGTCTTGGATTTAAACTGGTCATCCTTCTCCTCCTCCTCCTCGTCTTCCCTTTTCCTGCAACATCATCCTATGTCCTCATTGTGCCCTCTTGCCGAGGGGCGCGATATGCGCTTGCGACAGGGAGGGCGGCGACTTTCGCCGAGCTGTTGGCGGGCTGGAGGTTTCGCCTGAGAGTTCCTTACAATTTATGACTCCGGAGAGGGCCAGTGGTTTTCAAAATGTGGTTCTCCTGTAGCACCGCGCACGTTTTTGTTTTGTTTTTTTGTTTTTTGCTGTTTTTGTTGAAAACAGTTTGCAAGTGTTTCACGGATTGAGGGCGGTTCCTTTTCAAAACGTGGCTCTCGCTTTAGCGCCGCGCACATTCGTATTATACATGTGCAAGAGTCACTTGCTTTCTATTTCTTTTTAGTATTTTTTCTGTCTCTTTCTTTTTTTTTTTTTTTTCATAGTTTTTTTTATTGTTTCTTTATTTTTTAATTTTTTCTTTTTATTATTACTTAGGTTTTTTTTTCGTATTTGTTGTCTGTTATTTTTTTTTTGTTTTTTTATTGTGTTTTTTCACTTTATTTTTCCTTTTTTTTTCGTTTTTGTGTTATCTTCAAATTTTTGTTTTCCTTTTTTTTTTTTTTTTGTATATTTATCGTTTCTTTTGTTTTTTTTCTATTATTTTTTTCTTTTTTTTTCTTTTTTTCTCTATTTTTTTCTTCATCTCTTTTTTTTTTTAGTACGTTTGTTTTTTTTTTTTGTTGTTGTCTTTTTTTTTTCCTTTTTTTTTTTTCTTTTTATTTGTTTTTTTTTTTTTTTTGTTTTTATTTTTTTTATTTTTTTTTTGTTTTGTTTTTTTAATTTTTCTTCTTTTTCATGTTTTCTGTTTTTTTCTTTCATATTTGTTTTTTTTATTTTTTCTCATCGTTTATTTTTTTTCGTTTTCTTTATTGTTTTTTCTTTCTCTTTTTCTTTGTTTTTTTTCAGACTCATGGCCGCTTGACGTTCCAGAACGGTGCTTTGAGGCGGTTCAGGATTGTCCGGGCGCAACAATTGCTGCATGCTCTACCTCGCACACTCCGAAGGGGGAACCTTGGGCTACTTCGCGGGGTATCAGAGTACAGATGTGACAATACATCGAACATGTCTCGAACAGATCGAGAAGTGAGCTGAGCGGGAGAGGGGAGCACGGAATTAAAATTGTAGAAGCAGCGGCCCCCCCAGCAACAGTTTGGGGTCTCGGGCCTTCCGTCTCTCCCCCCTCTCCTCCTTTTGAGGTCGTGTTGTCGTCTTCTTTCTCTTGGCTTGGGCGCCCTGCTAAGCCCGCGCGTCCCCTCGCCTTGGGCACGCAGAAGGGCCAGCAGCTGCCCCCCCGCACCGACCCGATGCGAACTGTGATGTAAGGTAGCGAGCTTATCTTACGGGGCTACCTCTGAGCTCGCTGGCCCTAGTGAGAAAGCAGGGCTGCTGCACAACAAAGCGCAGGGGATTTTTTCAATAGTTATACCCCCTTCTGCGAATGTCCTATGTCCTATGTCCTCCCTCCTCTTGCAGACTTATGTTGCGTTCTCATCGCGCCCTCTTGCTCAGGGGCGCGATGTGCGCCGGCGACAGGGAGGGCGGCGACATCCGCCGAGCTTTGGGCGGGCGGGCATACTGCGAGCCTGGCGCGTGGTCCACCCCTGTAATCGACGGCAACGGCGACATCTTCATCGGCAATCAGGTTCACGGGGGATCCAAACGGCGGGGCGACCACGCAGTGTGGTGATTCAGGTTCTGGGACTTGGGTCGTTCTCCGAGGACTTTGGGGCTTGGGTAGCTCTCCGAGGATGTCTCGGGCGACTGCGGCATACTGCGGCCTCCAAGGTCCCGAAAGGGTGCGGTGACAGACCGTGCGGTGATGGCATTTCGAAGTGACTGCACGGTCCGTCACCGCGCCCTTCCAGGACCCCCAACGGATTCCTCTGATCGGGACGCTGTTCGCAAGTCACGTCGCGTCTGCCCGTTTTGGGCCTACTGCCCTCACGGAACGCCGACGAAGGACGGGGATTGCGCCGCATCGCCTTTGCATCGGCGATGCGGCGCGATATTGGTCTCACTTCCGCACTCCATCCCGACCGTCGGCCCGACGCCGCCGTTGCATCGGCGCTGGAGGTGCGACATTCGGCCCCATCTTAGTTGCTTCACTGAGGATGCATCCATGTGGTGTTTGCTGCACTGCGCCAAGTATTTGGATCTCGGAGGGGCGAGGGAGAGAGAGAGATACAGGTGTGTGTGTATATATATAGAGAGAGGGGAAACAGAGAACACAGAAAGACAGAGGGAGAGAGGTGTGAGGAGGGCGACGGGGGGCTCGGAAAAATCAGGAAGACCAGCGGGAGGGCGAGGAGGAGATGGAGGAGGAGGAGGAGGAGGAGCCGAAGGGTGTGCTAAGGTTTGTCTCCTCGATGTTTGTTCTCGGGGGATCATATTTGTGGCACGTTATCGGACGTCTCTGTCTAGTTCCTGCTGCCCTGGGATGGCTTGGGGGGCTCGGGACCCCCCAAGACGACCCCAAGCTCACCAGCATCATGTTCGGGGTTCCCAGCCAGAGTCTCCGGGAGGAGGAGGGACGATACAGTCGGGGCCCCGAAGAAGGAGCCCCTTTCGTTGGAGAGGGGCTCCGTGTTCCTTGGTTGATTCACAGTTTGCCTCGGGTTTTCCTTCGGTTTTCCATGGGGAATCGAAGTTCAACTCGTGGATAGCAGGGGCCTCGTTCCTTCTTTGGGGTTCCTTGGGTCAACGCTCCGACTGCAGGCAACGACCGGGAGGAGGAGTGGGCTGCGGCGTGCGCACTCGCCGAGGGGCCCTGCCGCCGCCCTCTCTCGGCTCGCTGTTGTTGGCCCCGGTGGTCCCGAAGGGGGCCGCCCGCGGCCTGCGCTCCCCGGTGACCTCTGTCTCTCCGGTCCTTACGGCTCCCCCCTGGGCCGGGGCACCGCCAGCCGCCGTGCGAGGAGGAGGAGGCGGGGGGGGGCAGGAGGAGGAGGGGGAGGAGGAGGAGGAGGAGGAGGAGGAGGAGGGGGAGGAGGTGGAGGAGGAGGAGGAGGAGGAGCAGGAAGAAGGGGGGCAGGAGGAGGAGGAGGAGGAGGAGGTGCAGGAGCAAGAGGAGGAGGAGCAGGAGGAGGAGGAGCAGGAGGAGGATCACGAGGAGGAGCGGCCGGGGGGGGGGCCGCTTTTTTGGCCATTCACGACGGATGCGTTCAATCATGTTTGCGGGTGTTCGGCGGTCCGCCCATCGGAAGCATGGGGTGGTTTGGCCACCTTTCAGAGAGTCCCGCCTCGTCCTCATCCGACCTTCTCCTCATCCTACCTTCGCGTGGGAGGAGGATGGCTCCTCCTCCACTCTTTCCTTGTTCTTTTAGGCGGGGGGAGGAAAGGCGACACGAACACCACCAGGGGGAGGTCCACGATGCTTCCCTGAGCTGGAGGCTGGGGGTGTCTCGAGCAAGAGAGGGGGACCACACCACCAGGGAGACCCCCCCTTGCTCCTCGCATCTCCTCGCCCTGGTGGTGCCGGTGCCGCCTTCCCTTGTTCCCATCTCTCTTCTTGCGGGTTGGCAGAACTCTCCCCCTGCCGGGCCGAGTTTCGCGCTTCCGCCCGCGGGGCTGGCCTCTCGAGGGGGGCGGCGCGGCCGCCATGCGTTGTGTGGGCCTGCGCCCGCGGGGGGGGGGCTCCACGGGCCGTGTTGCACAGAGGGGGTGCTCTGCTGACGGGGGGGTTCTGTCCTCCCTTTCCTGCCCTCCTGCCTGGGCCTGCAAGTCGGGCATGTCCCTCTGCAGGGGGAGTCGTCAAGAATAATCTTCAAACAGTCTGGCGGCGACTTGTCGTGCTCTCTTTTGGTTATTGTTTGATGATTTTTCGAATGTGCTTTAGAAGGACATGCCGATGTCCGCCTGTAGGAGGACATGCCCGAACTCACCCTAGGCCTCCCAGATGGGGTTGGAGTAGATGCGGTCAGAGGGTCGCGCCGCATCGACGATGCATCGGCGATGCGGCTCGATGTGGAGCCCGATGTTCTTCACACCGATGGCGCCGATGTAGTGCCGACGTCTCCGGTGCGTCGCCAATACATCGGCGATGCATCGCCGATGCATCGGCGATGCGGCGGGATCCTGCGACCCCATCTACTCCGACCCTTTCTAGGAGGCCTTTATCAGCCCTCGTCCCTCTCCTCATCTCCCAGCGCTTTAGGTGGGGGAGCTGCAGAGGCTAGGCGCGAACTCTCCGACTGCAACGGGGTCTAAGCAGTTCGAGCTGCTCTCCACGCTGACCACGGATCAGGCCTTCCAGGACCAGGCCATCACACTCGCCCCGAACATCATGGCCGTGGCTACCTGCACCTCTCTGATTGTTTTTCATACGTACCTCAGCAACGACACGTTCGGCATCAACGGCACGTGGGAGTTTTCGCCGTGAGGTCCTGCGTACCTTGAGTGGGAGGACGCAGCCAAGAGAATTGCGCGGCGATGTAGTGGTAGTTCTGCAGACCCAGCCATGCTTGGTGGCGTGGGATCGCACATTCACATATGCTGGAATATCACATTCACGTGTTTCACGCCGACTGGTTATGTGGTGCGCGGCCTGCATTCGGTAAACATTGCACCCGTTATGTAACCGAAAAATATGGGGGGCAGGTGTTGGAACCAGCACTCTAGTACAACAGCCGCTCACCCTACGAATCCTCTGGCTGACCCAAGAGTAATCGCACTTGCTCTTGCATGAGCGAATTGCGAAAAGCGCTGGTGAAGCGAACTGACTGCTTGAGCGCAGTCTGCCCTGGGGCCCGGGCAAGGGCAGCGGGCGGAATCAGCCAATTACGGCACTACGTGTCCAACGAATGGATGGTCCGCACGATCGCCTACACTGAGCATAATATGAACCTGCAGGGCCACTCTTCGGATGATCAGGAGGTTGGGGCGGAAATGCGTGCAGCTGTCTATTTGCGATTGGATTTGGGTCGGATTCGAGGTATTTATATGTAACCGTCGAGCTATCGATCGGCCCCCCGATCTGCTGGTCACATTATAATCACACATCCTTATCGCAGTAGCGTTGTGGTTACAGCTCGGCCACGCTATTGGATTGTGTGTTCTCCACCCGAACTTGGCAGCTATGGCAACTTTAGGGGCCGTCTTGGGCCGTTTTGGGCGCCTCGTGGGCTGTCTTGGGGCCCTCTTGGGCCCTTTTGGGGTTTCTTGGAGGGCTCTGGGCCGTCTTGGGGTGGTCTTGGGGGCCTCTAGGGCCGTCTGGGAGCGTCGGGAAGCCGAAAGGCGAGACCGCCAAACTCCTTCAACAACCTCAGGAAAGTCAATGACTTTGGGTTCTTGGGGCCCTCTTGGGAGGCCTCTTGGAGGACTCTTTGGGCGTCTTGGAGGCCGCTTGGGCCGCCTGGGGGCCATCTTGAGCGCCTTGGAGCTATCCTTTGGCGACCCTGTGCCTCCTTTAAACGTCTTGGGGGCTTCTTGGAGCTCTCTGGGCATGTCTTGAGGCTCTCTTGGGCCCGAAAAAGTCACGCGACAAGACGTGCCACGCCCCAAGACATTTTAGCCGAGGGGCTCCGAACCCTTCAATAAATCCTCAGGAGTGGGGGCTGAGGCTTAGAGTGGTAAGGAGAGGACCTGAGGACACGCCCACTGCGTCCTCAGCGGCACGGTGTCGGATCAATCTAGTTGTCGAGTTGAATATTTGTATGGCGATCTATCGTCCTCACTACCAATGTACAGATCGCACTATAAACGTACCTGTCGGTCTCAGCATCTCTCAGTCTCTCGCAATTCGTTTATCGACCGCGCTATCACTGCGCGTTACTGGTCTCATTATCTACCAGCCCTAGTACCTCTCGATCGACGCCCGCACGCACGTCACCCACGACCCGAAGCGAAACCTAAGCCGGTGTCCCGGTTGGGCGACTCCGTTCTACCTTACCCCCAAACCTCCGGTCTCCCAGCGCTGCCCGTGCCCGCGCCCAGGGACGCGAACCATGCATCGCTGAGGACTAGCGCAGCATACGTTACTTATGATCCAATTTGGTCCACGGGAGGGTTGTCACCTAACGTAGGCATGGCGTTTGTTTCACGCACGCCAGGGAGACCCAACAAATGAAGCAACATACCTGCTTCGTGAGTCCACACGTCTATCCACCTGTCGCTCTCTCTCTCTCTCTCTCTCGCTGTCACTCCCCCCGCCCACATTGCCAGGCGCTGCCAATATCTTGCCAGGTGATAAGAGCATATGACGAGACGGAGGAGTAGAGGGAAACGTGGAATGAGGAGGAGGGCCGGGACAGGGCTGGGCGTAAACGCTATTTTTCTGGACGCCCAAAAAGGGTACGGACAGAATGGGTACAGCTCCTGCTCATTCTGATTTGCACTCGCTGTCGGTTGTGTACATTTGAGACAAGGCCGCCTGCCCAACAGCGGCCGCTGTTGATTTGGGGCAATATTCGTTGTTGGGCATTGTACCCGCTGTTCCGTACCCATTTTGGGCGTCCAGAGTTTTGTTGGTTTTCGGTTGTGTTTTCTTCATCAATTTGGGAGGGAGGCACAGGACAACAGGTGGAGCAAAACGGAAAGCATAACGAACACGAAACAAAAAACGACGTTTAGGTCCAGCCCTGGGCCAGGAGTGGGGACAGACAGAATGGACAAGAGGGAGGAGGAGGAGGAGGAGGAGGAGGAGAGGAAAAGGAGGAGGAGCAGGAGGAGGAGGGAGAGGAGGAGGAGGAGGAGGAGGAGGAGGAGGAGGAGGAGGAGGATATAGGAGAAGGAGGAGGAGGAGGAGCAGGAGGAGGAGGGAGAGGAGGAGGAGGAGGAGGATATAGGAGAAGGAGGAGGAGGAGGAGGAGGAGGAGGGGATATAGGGTACCATCGTTAACGTTTGCCGAGCACGTCCTGCCGCCGGTCCTGGCCCACCGCGCTTCGGCGCGACACGCTGGGCGCGTGCCAGTTCCCAGGCACCAATGTCAAGTCGGGCCTGTCCCTCTGCAGGAGGAGTATTCAAAAAGAGTCCAAAAATAGTCGGGGGACGATGTTTCTAACATGTCCTGATCATTTTTAGATCTTTTCCTAACTTTTTGAAAATTGTCGTCGGAAATCGGTCTCTAGGGGGACATTCCCGACCTAACACCAATGTCTTGAATTGTTCTCAATAGTTTCGTCCCGCGAAGCGGCGCTTCTCGCCAGAAGCTCGCAAGACACAGCGTGTCGCAGGCGCCACCGCCGCGACTCAGCAAGCGATGCCCGCCGTAGACGCGGGGTGGGGAGAGGACAGCGGGCAGGCTGGGGAGCCATGGAGGGAATCTGCACGGGGAGGTATTTCTTGTTGCGTTGGCGAGGGCTCGTTGTCAAGACATCCGACGGTGTAATTTCTTCCATGCCTGGCCCCACAGGTCCCAGCCCCTTCCCTGGGGGTCAGGCTTCCGTCCCGGATCAATTTCATGATTTGCGCTTCGCTGCAATATTCCACATGTGCAAAAAATACACGAAGAGTCCCACGGGGGTGACGGGGAGCCCAAGACCGCCCGGTTCGGCAGTTGTCCGGCGGCGGTGCAGCCTAAGATTCCCTTACAATTTGTTCAGGAATTTGGAGGATGAGAAGGAGTGGTCCGCAACAGGGGGTCTGCAATGGGGGCTGAATGGCCCATGTACGCGCACGATTTCGCTAATGTAAATGATCGGGCACGATTGGCATCCAATGTTGGCGGTCATATAAGGGCCAGCCGTTCGTGCCCCCCGCGCGTTGCCCGCTTTGGCAAACGCACAGTCCATCCAGTATCGTTCATGCGCGCGGGCGTTCTTGCATATCGCGCGTGGGGCGGCGAAGTAGAGTGCAAGTGTGTCTTGAGCGTGCGATTCAAGATCGCGTATGTTCCCAAATAATGTCTTGTCTACCCCCAGGACAGCTTTGTCACGGATTCCGCCATTTTCCCAACATGTGAATTCCCATGTTCTGTTTTTTGTTCCCAAATGTGAATTCACATCTTCCCAAGATGTGACTTCTCATTCTTGCCCCTTTCATAAAGAATCCGATGCTAAATTCCAGAAAATGAATTCACATTTTCCTTTTTCCGAAATGCGACTTCACCTCATCCTTTTTCCCAACATGTGAATTCACATGTTGCTTTTCCCCACAATGTAAACTCACATTTTGCCCTGGCCCTCCAGACCACCAGAACTGAGGCGCGCACCGTTCCGCATGCCAATCTGGCTGGGCAGATTCTGACACTCACCTCGCCGCCTGCGTCCATTCCAACCTTATCGCCTTGCGCCCGCATCGCACGTGTTGCCTTCATCGTCTCTCCCGGGGCCCCCGCCTCCTTGCTCCGTTGCCTTCAAGTCTCGCGCAGGGGTGCAGGCGGGGGGCTTCAATTTGGTTCCTCCGCCGAGCACAGCAATCAAGGATATGTCGCGCATGCAAGGCGCCTAGAGCCACCATTGCCAGGACTTTGCGCCCGATCCCCACATTCACTTTCCAAGGAATCCCGGGGAAAGAACAACGACATCGGAGGTCCGGGCGGACATCCGAATTTGCATATTTATGCCATTGTTTGTTTCCCCAGAATCGTGCGCTCGCCACAATGCCGGCTACAGGTTTTTGATTTGGACGGCCATGTTTTTTTGTAATCGATACATTGATGAGCACATTGCCGTGTTTTCCGTATGGTTGTCGCTCTTCGAATTCCGCTCCCGCGTGCGATGTTCAAGCAGAAGAGCAATTCTATGGCATTTCAGGCACTTCGTTCAGAGCCCCGAATCATCAGGGGTAACTCGGGTCAGGGATAACTCGGGTTCGTTTTTCGGGAATCCAAACCCGAGTTACCCCGGACCCGAGTTACCCCGGATAACTCGGGCGTCCAGATCCCCGAATCATCAGGGGTAACTCGGGTCAGGGCTAACTCGGGTTCCTTCTTCGAAAATCCAAACCCGAGTTACCCCGGATAACTCGGGCGCCCAATTCGTGTTGCTAGAACTTCATTCCCGCGTGTGTTTACGATGACAAGTGTCCACCCTACCGCACTTCGTGGTTTTGTCTTAGGAGCTCTTATGACTACCTAGGGATGCGCGTTTTCACTAGCCGACTTCTTCCTCCTCGACCCGCCTCGTCACCATCGTTGCTATTAGAATACCTTGCTCGGGGCCCAATCATCCTGGACAACGCCCGATCCAATCCAGAACTATTCGCATAACGGCGCGTCGACAAGAGACAGCGCGAGTACGTTGGCTCACCTTCGCGAGCTCGCGGCTGCCAGGAGAGAGGGAAGGAGTGAGGAACGAAATAATGAGGGGAATAATGGGAAGGGGGAGAGTATAGAAACAAATGGACATGGGGAATCAGATAAGTTCGTGCACGAAGCAGGTGAGACATGAACCATGTTCAGCTCGGCACGCGTGGCCCTCCAGTCCTTCCACAACCTGGAAGTTGCCTTGCTCGGCACTGCGCTCTGGGCTAATCTGCCACGGATTTGTTGTCAACATGTTTTGTTTTATTCGTATTTCTTCAAACGTATTATATGTCAACCTATTTTTGTTTAGTATGAAGAATCGCCACGGCGCTATGTGTCAATGGACAACTGGACGCGTAAGCTTGCACACTTGATCAGGCCAGAGGTGATGGGCCTAT